AAGGCCAGTAGCATCGTCTTCGTCCTCCTCATCATCATCCTCGTCGTCTTCTTCGTCGGTTTCCTCGTACTCAGGAGTCGGCTCGCCCCTCAGTTTCCGTTCGATATCGTATACGTCTACCCATACACTGTCTTGCGCCTGTGCGCACTCGCAACGTTTGGCGATCTTGCCCATGGGAAGCCAAGAGTCGAGCGCAAAGTTGACAGCCTCGGCGCAGTTGTAGCCCAGGTTGTATCCCGAGTGGTATCCGTACGGGTAGGTAACGACGAATTCGCCTGGGTACGAAACGCACTTGTTGACGGTGATATTGTAGTGCTGCTTGAGGTGCGACGGGGAGATCAAGAATCCCTTGTGGCGAAGAAACTGGTCGCAAGCCTTGGCATCCGTGGGCCAAATGTTCTTCATGGCAGCCTCGAAACGGCGGGCGTCAGCTTGTGAAATGCTGTACCACTGTTTCGGAGCGCCAAAGTGGAGGTAGTTGATGCTGTAAAGATCAACGTCCTCCAAATGCCATGCGAAAGTGGCTTTCCACATGCCCAAGTAGAGGTAAGCCGTGTTCACACCGGGAACCTTTGTTCCGAGAACATCCAGCAAGTTAGGAAGCTTGTTCAAGTTCCACATTTCTGTCGACTCGTCGAAGAGAGTTCCCATGAGATCTGCGCCGTACAGCGGCGGGGCGTACGTGAGTGTTTTCCAGTATATCCTCTCGAGTTCCTCGCAACGCTCGGGGGTATAATCAGAGACATCCATCTGGTAGTCAAAGTCCTCGAACGCCTTTTCGTCAATCATGGCGGAGCCTTCTCTCTTGCTGTACTTCCGACGGGCCGAGACAGTCTGGGTCTTTGGCTTTGCTTGTCTCGCGCCACCCATCCGACCCATTCTGCCAACGGTTGGTGGTTCGTCTTCGTCGACATCCATTCCGGGGTCTTCCACAGAATTAACGACTTCTTCTTTCTTGACCTTGACATCCGCATCCACAGCCGGTTTGGGAGAGACGGGCGTCATAGGTCGCTTCTCTTCCTCCTGTTCTTCTTGGGCATCGTCCTCATCGTCCTGGTTCTTGCCCTTGGCCTTACCCCGGCGCGGTCGACCTCGGCCCCGCTTTCTAGACCCGGCCGGATTTGATTTCGCTTCTATACGAGGTTTGGGGGCGGATCGGGGTTTCGGCTTTTCGACGTTGGCTCGGCGCTCGCCTCGCCGCGCTGGGGGTTGATGCTCGCTCTGGTCGCAAAGTTGTCGCCACTGCGGGAGGTTATAGGATCTTTGATGAAGGATGTTGACTTGGCGATAGGTTCCATTCGATCCCATAATGTCTTGCTTGATTGGTTCTCTGACTCGAATCTGCTTCACCAGGTCGTCGAGCCGGGGGAGGTTTTCTTTCCATTCGGGGGGAGGGATGATCTTGACAATGCCGGACTTCATTCCATAATGATCGACTTTGGTCATCTACAGATACGGTCACGGTCAGCCATTGCAAAGACACGGGGAGAGGTCACGAGTGCAAGTGGCATGGGCATACGAATAGCTTGAAGTCCTTGAACTGATGCATCGTCGGCCTGAAGACAGGGACGGTCCCGGACCAGTGGTCGGGGAGGACTTCGCCAATGTCGTCCTCAGGCGGCGGCGGCGGCGGCGCCTCATCTTGAATTGTAGGGGCAGCAGATGGATCAACGGCATCGTCGTCGAGGTCGCTGAGCTCGGAGTCGCTGGGTTCCGACTTGGGCGCATTGTTGCTGTCGGGGGGCGAGTGGAGGAAGGCGGGCTTTGCACATTCAATCTGGCCAAGGGTAGGCTCCTCGTCGTGGTCACCAGTCGTGGATTGCGCCGGCACAGGTGCAGGCTCCGAGACTGGAGCGCTGACAGCGTCGGTCGACATCGTGAAGGGGACTACATGCGACCGTGCATGCGCTGGGAATTTTCTGCCTCGCACGTCGTCAAGATGGTTGTGTCGGGAGGGTGCGCAGGCTTGGGTTTGTTCAAGTCGCCGAAAATATGAGGTGCAGACGTCTGGTTGAGTGCGGAGAACAGATTCGTTTGGTTCTTTGGTTATCAGATCCTGCGGGGGATTGGCCACTGTATTCGTAGAGGGAGCGGGAGGACTGAGGAAACTGCGTCTGGCTGGACGGGCTCGCTAAATGGGCCGATTTTTGGCGAATCTGGGCTGATGAACCAGGGCTGGCGCAGGAAGGGCGGAAGTTGCACCTCCCAAAAGGCCAACGGTTACTGTTAGGTAAGGAAGGGAAGGCAGGTACGTACGGTCGGCAGTCGTGCACCGCGCCTGGCAAAAAAAAAAATCCGGCTATTTAAAAAAAAACGAGGGCCTTTACATTTAGGAATAAGGTATTCGTTGGCTGATGAAAATCTTCAAGGTATCGAGTGTACTCGAAAGGGTTGTGGCCTTTGCTCTCTTTTTTTTTTTGCTTCGGTTGCAAAGAGCCAAAAGCTAGAGGTGTCGAGTCGAGGAAGAAGCTGGCACCATCGGGCAGATGCGGCTGCGGTTGCTGTTACTTGCGCTTGCTGCTTGCTGCTTGCTGTGGGGGGGAACGGGTGGTTCAGGTACGGATACTGCGCGGGCACCTTCCAATTCTCAGCATCCGAAGGGCAGGCAGGTAGGCAGTGCTGGCGACCCCCTTCCCTCTTTTGCCTTCCAAGTTCCGTCTCATCCCCTTGACTTCCAGGTTCCTCGTCCAGTGGAAGGTCCACGTTGATTAGATCGGCGCTAGTCCCTACTGGGGAGGTTCCCCTGTGCCTTAGGCACGCGAGGCAAATGCAGAATCCGGCACCGGAGTGCAGGGAAATGACGTCGCCACGTGAGCGTAGGTCGAGTTTGCAACCACAGCGTAATTGTTCTAAGCGATGCATTTGATTACGAGTTATGCGCAGCTAAGCTCAGAACAACCATAACATGGGCGGTTCGTCAGCTATAAGTGCAGTATTTGCGTCGATATTTCGAGGGCTTTGCTCAAGTTGGTCAACTTGTCAGCCAGTAGAGCGTGCAATAGACTCGGATGCTGTTCCTGTGGAGCTGGGTCTGGGTAAGGGTGCAGGTCATCGCCCTTTCGTGTCTCGGTGTGAATTTCTTCTTCTCCCTGACATTTACCGTTGCAATTGCTGTAAATTCGCACAGAAGATTGCGGGTCCCTACCGTTGACTGGTCGTCGGTGTTTGGAGATGCCGTCGCTGCCGGCAGATTGCGACTGGCGTCAGGGGAACATCGCGCCAGGAACGCAATCGTGAATCGTTTCCTCTCCTCGAAAGCTTCGGCCAATAGAGACAAGCATCAAGATCTGATAATCTTGCATGGCACTTTGGCGTCTCAAAGTCTCTAGGGGGTGGGTGTGACCCATCCAGCCCTACCGGTCGAGAGCATCCGCCGGCCGGCAGCGGATCGTCCGATGATCCAATCCACCCTGGCTGCTCGGCGGAGGAAGCGACCTGAGGTAAGGTAGGGAGAGGAGCAGGCGGGAGGGTTGGCTGACTCCCCTCCGCATCGCTGCCCGCGATAACTCGACTGTCACCAAAAGTTCCCCAGTGAGCCCGACCTGTTGATGGTGTGCTCATGCCGATATTGCTATCGAGTCTTGTCGGGGACGGTGATCGGGTTCGAGTCCCAAGTATCCGTACCCAGGAGTATGATCGTGGTAACTCCTTATCGGACCGCGCCCGCCTGGAGTCCGGCATCATCAGTCGACTCCGCACTCTCCACGTTGCGTGAGGGGCGAGGAAGCTGGAACCGCAGAGATCTGAGTTGCAGAACCCCCCCCCCACATACGTCCCCGACCATGGGGGAGGGGTTTGCCTCGACTCTTCGTCGAACGTAGACCGGCCTCCTCGAATTCGAGGTCACTGATCCAACATCTGCTCCGTCACGATAAGACGCCGACTGGACATATCCAAGATGACTAGGTTTCCTGTGATGCTCGTTAGTATCGTTTTGTCGTGATGGGGTCACACCTTGCCTCGAAATTGCAGACTTTGAGCAACGCTCGTGGATGCTGACGCTGGATCTGCTCCGTTGCCCGTTACCTTTGGACAAGCCTGTTTTGTACCCGTTCGAAATACCGACCAAGATTATCGTCGAAGCTACTCGTAAGCTCATTGCGTAGGTAGCGACGAGGGCACGCGGCTCAAGAATTCAGTCGTTCATCATGAGCCATCAAGGTTCTCATCAACGTAGACATGAACACGCCAAGTAAGGTATCACAAAGACTGAAGGCGGGCCCAGCTGGGACGACTCTTCCATTCCATCGAATGTCAAGAGTGATAGAGTTGAGTTCGGTCCAGCAGTGAAAGGTGAGGGGATATGCAAAGCACGTCTGGGGGAAACAATGCACTAAGTAGTAGGTAAGGTAGCTATGCTGGTGTGGCTGTCGTGGGTCTCACTCTATGCCTGCCGCCCCCCAAAGGCATCATACCTACCTTACCTTATTCCGTCACCTTCCATTGCCTGAGTTGAGGTGCCCTTATCTCAGCACTCGTCAGTCACACCGGCGCAGTAGGTAGCCCAAGGCAACGTGCACGTCTCGTAGATCAGGGCAAGGACCGCAGACAATCCTTAGCTGATGTAACGCGCCAACAAAGCTTCCCTCATTCAGCTCTGATGTCTCTACCTCGGCAAACATATCACACAATAGTGCCACTTGAGATCAGATGATATCTTCCGTCCACCTTTTGACGCCAGTAGAAAAAGTTCATAGCCTATTTCCTTACGGGGTGGAGAAAAGAGACGGGCCTGAAAAACCGTCGTGAAAATAAATATTCAAAAATCCCGCCTCTGGCTAAATGCAACTGCCAGAAGAATGTACAATGTGATCGTGCTTCGTGAAAAAAAGTTTCTATTCGTCTCTTTCTCTTCCCAAATCCCTCGATCCTCCCGTCGGCAGACCTTCTGTACAGCTGTGCCGACACGCCATGCAAGAAGTTTATAGGATATATGTGAATAGAGGGTGACCCCCCGGTCGGTCGCGGACTCGTATCCCGCCCCAAGGAAAAGAGTCGGTTCACGCGGTGCGGAGATGGTTCGATCCAAGGCCGATCAACTCGAACATGATTGGGATCAAGCCCACGCCCAGCCAAGCAATACCTATCGGCATCTGTCAGCAAATGTGGAGCAAGATCGGATCTTGCGGAAAAGGGACGGAACTTACCTGTATAAACAACCAGTTTGGTCACCACCTCGACATCGTAACGTACTCGTGGACGGATGAGTCGAAGAAACATTTCCTTCTCACTCATCTCGTTTTGCTGGCCGACTCTCAGCTCTACCTCGCCCTTCTCCTCGCTCGGGCTTGCTAGCACGCTCCCCGTACCCATCATGCGCTCAAAGTCGTTTAGTGAGTTGCCGTGATGGCCTTGAACACCAGACGTTGCTCCCTTCCCTTCCCAATCGCTGCTCTTCTCTCGAAGCTCGTGCATACTGCCCTTGCTCTTGATGCTGCCATTGCTGCCAATGCTCTCTCGACGTCGGCGCTCGCGGTATGCAAGTGTCTCGTACGCATCGGCGGCACTCTGTGGTCCGATCGATACCGAGCGACCACGTGTTGTCGGGTGACGAATGGACTGAACTACGCGGGGCAAGTCTCTGACGTTGGGAATAAGCGTATCCATCCTTGAGCCCGGGTCAATAGACTTGTACATGGACGCTGGTGTGAAGAAACGTCTGGGAAGATTCCACTCGACCTTTTCTAGGAGACGGAAAAGGTGAGGCAGAACTCTGAGCATGGTAGGTTTCATGACCTCTCGCCATAGAAGGATGACAACTACGCCGAATACAACGCGGGCCAGCACAATGTGCCAGCCCAGCGCGTTGAGATCAATGGACTCAACCGTATGGGCAGATCCTCCGAACGAATCGATTGGAGTCCGCCCATACGACCATGTTCCGATCTCCAGGCCTATCACAACTCCGGCAAAGGCTACACTGTCGTCAAAGCAAGGGCAGTCGTCTGCTGGCTCAGGATGTATCCTCACGAGGACAATGACGACAAGAGCAGCGATAACGGGTGCCCACCATGAGCTGCTGTGCATGTACGCGTCCAGCGGCGGACCGTAGTGGAACTCGACGAGCGAAATGACAGCACCCAAGACCGAGCCCACGACGACGTCGGTGAAGCCATGCATACCACAGTACAGTCGACCGAGAACAATAGAAATGGCATAGAAATATGACAGGCCCTCGAGAACAGTCTTGGTCGTCTCCGGCATGGCATTGTCAGGGCTCCGGAGAAGCAATACTGCGTACACGGCCACTGACACGGCGTTGGCGCTATGTGTCGAAGGGAAGCCATATTCCAATGCAGCAGATCCGGACATGGTAATTCGATGTAGTGGCGGGGACAGCGGTCTGGGTAGGGAAAAGAAGTCCTTGATGAAGCCAGTGAAGAAGACGCCCTCGGCTAGGATGTGAATAACACTGTGAGGCCGCAGCTAGTTAGATAGGTTCTATGTAACTCTGGACGGCGATGCCTGCTTACCCTTTGCCAAAAGAGGCGTACCCGCACCAGAAGAGCATGGGCAAGCCGATCATGAAGAACGTATGGGTACCGAGGTTGGCCGTGATGGCAAAGTAACTATCGAGCCATGGGGTGCGCATCGTTTCCTGCAGATAAGCCAGGTAGGGTGTTTCCCAACGGATCAGTGGCAGCAGCGACTGCCGCAGTCGATATCGCCATGGTGGCAGCGCTCTCTTATCTGTAGACAGGCATGGTCAGCCCAAGGCCCAAGGCTTGGAGGATTGCGTGCGGGCAAGGTGTTTGGGGCTCTTGGCGATGCGCCAGGCTCAAGACAAGATTGACAGCACAAAAGACAGAGCTGGGAGAGTGTAGCAGCGTACAATGATCGAGGCTCCTCAGGCCCGCATCGGGGGCGTCACTGGGGCTTCTGACTGTAATCAGAGGCGGGGCGGGGGCCTCGGCGACAGCAGCAGGGTCGGCAAGCTTTGGATTCGCACCGGTAGCGTCGCGGCGCTCCGGCAGAGGATTCGGCGCGGATGCGGCGCCATTGGTATGGCTAGTCATCAGGCGGTGTCTGAGGTCGTGGTCTTGAGGCATACGGCCATTCGTTTTCTCGCGGGGTGGTTCGGTTCTCTTCTAGTTGCGTTGGGTCTGGGTGGTGCGTATTCGCGGGTAGAGACGCAGGTTCGGAGGGGGGAGTTAGGGAAGTATTCGGTATAAGGCGTTTAGGGTGGAGAAGAAGCAGATGCGGATGCAATTGCTTGAAGAGTTGGCGAGCGACTGGGCATCTGGCGGCGGTGGGTTCGCTGGGATGGTGAGGAACGAGTGATGCGCTTGGTGAGGGAGAGGATCGCCAGCGACTGGAGAGTTGTGATTATGTCGCAGGAAGCGAGCGAGGTTTGGCGTCGAGGTTGTGGGAGGGAAACGATGAAAGAGCAGGGGAAATTTGCTGGTGCAGCAATTGGATGGTAGTGGGATTGCGATGTTGCGTTCGCGCTACCAACGGGCGTGGGAACCTGTAACTGGAACTCGAACTGGAACCACTGGAGTATCTTGGGTGGCGTGTTGTGTTGGGCAAGGTACTTGACCTTGAGGTACTGCATAGACGATGTACCTTTACTCTGGAGGGGTCACTCTTGGGACGCCGGATGAGGCACTTGAGGTAACCTAAAGTACCTATCTTATTCAGCACTGGACCACGTTGGAGACTAGGTAGGTATAGGAAACGAACAGAGAGGTCCTCTTGAGGCAGGCAGGTGGAATCCTCCTTGGTGTAAGGTACCTTGGGTTATTCTTGAGAAGACGGGGAGATTGAAGAAAGAAGGAAAAGAAGACAATGAATCTGGCACGGAAGGGTCCCGCGCTAAGGTAGCGCGCTACGTTGTGTCAGGCGTTACGAACACCTCATGGAAAGATGGAAGCATCTCAGATGGATCGGTACCTGACAGCAGCAGGAGCATCAGTGACAGACAAAAGACACCAGTAAGGTGACCACCCACCACCCACCACCCACCATCTCTAGCACGGTATCACCTTGGTCTCGCACCCGAGGCTGCCTACCTTACCTTTAGGTACCTAGCATAGAATCGACAACGGCGGGCGCGCTCGCCTTAGCTCTCCCCGGCATACAAGTCGCCAATAACCTTCCAGGTCCATTCATCGTTCACAGGCTTCGGTTACGGAGTACTTTGGTCAATGTACCTGTTCTATGGACCACCTCCACCATCTTCAATCGTCGAGATTCCCCGTTCCCCGGCTTTGTGCCACCACCACCACTTACATGGATCGTACAAGTGTCTTGGGTAAGAGAGGGCAACATTACATCCGTCCTCCGACATATCTTTCGACATCCAACTCGAAATACCTCGCAAAGACCTCGAAAGAAACCACAGACACAAGGGCACGAGATCATGGCCCTCTACTCGGTCTTTCTCTTATCTTCTTCTCTTCATGCACCAGAAGGAGTGGGGTCCACTGGCGGCACCGCACCTCACCTCAATAGCGGACGGACATCTGTCTCACCATCAAAGAGCTTGAACATGAGATGACGAAAAGAAGTACGGATAGAGGAAATGGGGTGGGAGCGAGCAAAGTAAGGGAAGCATCACCTACTGTGTAGGTAGGTACGACGACCAAGCCTCGGGATCAGATTCCTCCTCCCCCTCCCCTCCTCCCAAGCAATGCCATCCAGCAACCAAGGTGTCAGACAAGAAAGAGCCACCAGGATCACCCCAAATAATGCCATTGTAACGCACACACACCAACGGCCGCCCAAGCTAACATCACCTCGAACAAGCATCTCCCCAGAACCAACAGCTTTCGCTCTCGTCTCATCCTGTCTTGGTCTAATCCTGTATGCGCTACCGCCTTTCGCCAGAGAGGGGCATTTTCAGATGTCCAAGACCATTTCGCATTTGCATTGAACGAGTCCGAGGGCCCCTTCTTTCTGCCTTTCGAGAACACAACACTCTGACCTCACTGGTCATTGCTTGTCGTCACCAAAGTATCGTCACTGCTGTACCGCGAGACTTGGCTGTAAGTGCCTTGAGGTACCTATCTTACCTTGAGTCGGTACGTAGCTGACTAGGCGGGGGTGTCTCTCTTCTAGAAAGGTTACACGGAGACTGCCATGCAGAGTACAACGACACCCCCCCCCACCATAATTCCAGACTCAGGCATCTAGCATTCTACCTTGGGTAGGTAGACATTCTACGTCCACAAGTCCAAAGCTCTGAAAGCTCCGGAGCTCCCTTTCCACAAACATTATACAACCATCAAGCTAAACTACCCGATCCTTCTCGACTAGCACCACGTAACTTACTCAAATACCCAACACACCGAGGAAAAATACTCACCAGCAAACACCAAATCATTCCAAAATAGCCGCGTCGGCAGGAGAACCGGAACTATCATAATGTCCGGCGCCCTTCTTCCCCTCCGAGCCCGGCACTGCCTCGTCACCGGTGCCTACGGAGGCATCGGCGCCGCAATTGCTTCCCGCTTCGCCGCCGAGGGCGCCCTGGTAACCCTCCTCGGCCGCAAGGAGGACAAGCTGCGTGACCTCTGCGCTCAGCTCCCGCCCTTCCGAAATGACCGCCTCGCCCCTCTGACCTCTTCTGCCTCCGCCTCATCGTCGCCGTCCGAGGCTAAACCAGCCCATTCCTACGCCGTCATGGACGTTTCCGCTGACGCTCATGATGAGGCTGTCCTCGATGATATCTGGGTTTGTCTATCCACCACCTCCCTTTCACACCTCCATCTACCATCTGCCATCAACAACACATCAGAATACTACATCTAGAGAAACGAGGGTGCCTAGCTATCGCTCCATGAACAAGTAGACACATTGACTAACAGGGACTTCCCCGTTCCCTCCTCCAGAAACGTACGGGCCAGATAGACGTCCTTGTCAACGCCGCGGGTATTGCGCAATTCCAGCTGTTGCAAAACACCTCACCACAGACCGCAAGAGAGCTCATCGACACAAACCTCATGGGCACAATCTTCATGTCCAGGTACATGGCACAACGCATGAAGCGCAGACGCGCAGACAGGGATGGTAAGTCATGGCACAACGCTACACCACGCATATTCACTTTTCCCAACTGTTCCTTTTCCCACACAACCGTTTTTGCCACACAACCCACACACACGATCGATCCGATCGCAACACCCACCCGCACCGCATATATGCGCCAGCCTCATGCCAACGCTGTGCTGCACACACACACACATACATACACGCACGCACTGCATCAACAGCCCCGCTAACCACGCGGTCCACTCTCCAGCATGCATTATCAACGTTGCTAGCTTGCTGGCCGAAAAGGGCAGCCCTGGCACAAGTGTCTACGCCGCATCAAAGGCCGGTATCATTGGTATGTTCTTCTTTTTTTTTGTCTCTTGCTTCGTCTCTCATACATCGCGGGGTTGCCGTGGCTGTATCCTTTCTAGCCTGTCTCCCCGATTTAGTGAAGCAAGTCTAATACCTCTGTGTGTCGCCCTGCTGAAGGCCTCACCCACGCCCTCTCCGTCGAGCTGGGGCCACTGCGTATCAGGACCAACGCCATCGTTCCTGGCTACATAGAAACCAACATGCTTGCCGGTAAGAAACCCTCCATTTGTCCCCCCATTTGCAGGCCCGACTTCAGAAGACCCCATACACCAATATCTTGGGTTAGGTAGGCCAATAGCTAATATACAAATTATCACAGCAATGTCGAGGGAACCTCTCGAGAAGAGGATCCCACTAGGTCGCTTGGGGCGGCCTGACGAGGTTGCCGATGCCGCCGTCTTTCTTGCTCAAAACACATACGCCAATAACTGCATCCTCAACTTGGATGGCGGGCTCAGTGCTGTCTGAGCTGGCGTGCAGCTCTCCATTCACGTAGAAGGGACACCCTTGACTTGGAAGAAAGTGGACCCATGCACAATCAGTCGTCGTCAATGACAATGGCTCCGCCGGTAGAATCGTCCACAATGACCACGTCGTCGCTGCCGCTCGTGGTAGCGACCACTTTGGCCTTCTTCGCTTCGATCGGCTCGTCTCCATCATCCGGTCGAGGCCGCTTGAGGTTTGGTGCCACCTCCGATACCTCAACAGCGGGCTTGCCATTCTGCTCACTCGTGCCGTTGGATTCGGCGGGTGTCTCCTTCTTAGGCTTGCGAGGGATCTCGGGCTTCTGGTCAGCGACCAAGCCCTGAACAGGCTTGTCACTCAGGGGCTCTTTGCTGTGTGGTTGTTAGTCTGCGGTTGGTATAGTAGCGTTAGAGCAGATAAACGTACGATTCCTGGATGCTGATGACGACGTTGACGAAGGGCTCGTCATCGTCTTCATCAATAATTGTAAGGAAAGAGTCCTCCTTGATTCCAAGCTCACTGAGCTTCTTGGAGAGGTTCTCCGTCTCATCCGGGTCGTAGAGCGGCCCGACGTCATTGTTTAGGGCGAACTCCTTGTCACCGTAGCCAAGCTCCAGGCGCACAAAGTCCTCGACAAGGTCCTTGAGTGTCGCTCGAGACATGTCGACAGTGACGCTCGTCTGATATACGCTGCATACAGGGCAATCTGGGTTAGGGGCGCGGTACTTGCTCGAGTTGAGCAGACGGGCAGGGTTGTGAGGAGAGATGAACACCTAGACAGACAGACATTAGACTATCGGTTCCCGGCCAAGACGGACAAACTTTCGACCTTACCTCCTTGGTCTGGGTGAAGTCGCCTCTCAGCACCTTGAATGATTGCAGGACACACAGGCCGGCGACAATGGCATTGGTTGTCGCAATGGCAGGGATGATGTTACCGGCCATCTGCTTGATATCGAAGCGCGACTTCCTCTCGATGCCGAAAATGGTTGAACGAATATTTGCGCTCGAGGTCACAAAGTCCAGCGTGTCCTCGTCGTCCTTGTCGAATGTGATGAGAGGTTCGGGTCCAGATGCATCGGCTTTGTGCGCCTTTTTCAGCTCCAGCATCCGTTTGCTCAGACGATCCAAGCTGTCGACGAAGACTGCAAAGTTCTCCTCCAACGTCCATACTTGCTGTCCTCCCTGCAGAATAGTCTCCTTCGAGGCGAGGGCTGCGGCTGACTGCTCTGACAATGTCTTGTAGTCCAAGGCCTCGGGTTTCCGTCTGGACTTCCACATGTCCTCCATCGACGCCAGTCGCACAATATCGGCATTGAAGACCTTATCGAAGAGCAGTTGCGAAAAGGCATCGGTGCCCAACGATTCGCGAATCGTTCTCAAGGCCGCGGCCTCCTTCTTCAACTCTTCAATTTCCTTGGCGTTATCGGCGTCGGCCGAGTTGTCGAACGCGGACTCGTCTTCGCTCGTGCCAAAGATTTCATTGAGGAGATAGCTCTTGCCCCACACGATGCAGTGGATGGGCTGGCTGGGGGTGCTTCGAATGGTGCAGACCGGGAAAGACTTGGGCGTCTCCTTTGGCGTGCAGTCGTAACATGCGGTAACGCCCTTCTTGATGACCTGGACGTTGCCGTTGAATCCCGTCGTGCCGCTCTCGATGAGGGGAACGTCTGCGGCCAAGCACATTCTGTTGACGTGCCGTCTCGCCTCTAGATTATCCAGCGCATTGAAGACAATGTTGAAGTCGCGGAACCACTTGACGTTGAATTGGGCATCCTTGATGTTCGCATGATGCGCGACGATCTTGACCTTGGGGTTGAAGGGCTGCGCCGCATCCTTAGCCACCTTTTATAAGTCAGTATTTGCAACAACCTCCAAATCTACGTCACTGCTCTGGGAACCATACCAATGCCTTGGACTTCTTGATGTGCTCGTGACGAAAGAGGAATTGTCGGTTGAGGTTGCTCAAATCGATTGTGTCGAGATCGACGACGTGGATTTCGCCGAAACCCGTGAGCACGATGTTCTTCAGTAGTTCGCATCCGATACCGCCAGCTCCAACCATGAGAACGCGCGCCTGCGTGTTGCAAGTTAGCTCCATTGACTCTGCAATTGCATCGTACTCCATCATCGCAAGAAAAATTGACTGCTCTTGGAATAGAGAAGGGGAACGCCGTTGAATGGAAGCCGCGAGGGCAGCTAGGTCGCGTGGTCTGATGCGCCGGGTTCTGACTAGGGTTGCGACATACCTTCTTCACATTGGCGTTCAACGAGCCGCCGAGCGATTGCTGGTAGAATCGACCACGCGTCTGCACGGCGGGAGGCCGCTGCTGCTGCGGCTTCTGTTGCTGTTGCTGCTGCGTCGTTTGCGCGGGTGGTTGAGCGGCGGGTGTTGCCTCTGTTTGTGCTGGTTGCTGCTGCTTTTGCTGTGGTGCTGGTGCCGGTGCTGGTGCTGGTACAGGCGCCGTCGCGGCGGGCGCTGTCGCCTCTGCCGCGGTTGCTGCAGGTGCAGCTCCTGCTTCCGCGGTGGAATCCATCGGCGTTTGGTCGATCGCAGTGTTGTTGAGGTGTCGGTTCTATATGCGTCGACGTGTCAATGGATTGGAGGGAAAGGTTGATGCAATCGCGTGGTTTGGGGAAAGGAAGTTGCTGGTGGAAATAAGCCGCGCCAGGTGCAGGTGGGATGAAACGACGGCGGCGGGTGGTTTTAGCACGGGAGCGACGCTGCGAAGAGGAAGGTTCCAAGGTTGAGGTTTTCCCTGAGGTCAGCGGAAGGCACGATCGCCTAGCACAAGGTTCCAGCCAATACCGGCAGCCGGTGACGAGATCCCAGCAGGGATTGGGGCTGTTGGTTCCTGGGGAACTTCCGCGCTCGAGTTCTGATTGGCAGATAAAGGCGGGTATCTCTCGCTTACCAGTGAAAGCTCGCTGGAGCACGCTGTAACCTCAGCGGCCTACGAAGTACCTAATGCATCCTATAGCCACCGTGAACCACTGGACGCCTGCCCCCGGTACCTACCTACCTCAATGGAAGTTAACCTTGGAAAGTACCTAACTACGTACTCCGTACTTACCTTTGCAAGGAAGGCGCCCAGGCCGACCTCGCTTGAGGTGCCGACCAGCGAAGGTTCGTTGGGCCTCCACCGGTTCTTGGGGTCCTCTCTATTCGTAGTAGGGCCGCGTCTTATGCCCCCTTTCACGTGGAAAGCAACCGGTAGGAAGCTCAGAAACGGGGTTCACATATATCCTTGAAGTGACGAGATCGCAGGTCACCCGGAGGGGCTTCTGGGATAATCGCCGCTTGCGATCCCGCCTTTTGGTCCAACAAAAAACAAACGGGTCAGTGCAATATGGGTCTCTTTACCGCCTAGTCCAAAGTTCTGATCCTGCGATTCTTGCCCTCATCGTCGTCCAAAGCTCTGTGAAAGACCTGCATTTGCCGGCTAGCAGCATCTGAAAGGTGCAGCCAAGTCTAGGTCCAAGGTCGTATTCCTGCGGCTCTCTTTCCAAGCAGGCACCGCCTGCAGCAATATCTCGATAAAACCGCGGGGTACTAGATACTCGCGTAAGCTCGCCGAATCATGTCCGACGACGAGCCCGACCTCGAACTCCTGGCCCTCCTCCGCCAGCGATTCCAGGGGAAGCTCAACATCGACGATGAGCCCGAGACGGGCGTCCTCGATGGCGCCGAGTTCGTCTACGACAACTCCATCGATGTCGCCATCGACATGAGGGCCACAAAGAGGGCCGCCGCCACCATCTACGCCCAGATGGAACAGAAGAAGTACTCCACCGCCACCTGGGCAGAGCATGAGCTGCACCCAAAGACCAAGGATGAGAGCACCGCCGCCTTCATCTTCACCATGGACCTGCTCAACTTTTGCTTCTGGTCCGAGAAGCCCGAGGACGAGAGGTACGCCGTCGAGTACCGCGGCAAGACCTGGACGGGCTACTGGAGCATGGTCGCCTCGCTGCAGCGCGCCCTCGAGGAGGGCATCCCCATCACCAGCTCCGACTTTTGGCAGAGCGAGGACGAGTGTAACTTGGAGGTCCTTAGGCACGTCTTCCGCTCCAAGACGGAGGAGGAGATGCCCCTTCTCGAGGAACGCCTGGCGTGCTTGCGTGAAGCCGGCACCGTCTTGTACGAGAGGTACAGTTGCAGCGTGACGAAACTCATCCAGGCCGCCAACGGGTCAGCCGCAAGGCTCGTCAACCTGCTCGCCCGCAATTTTGACTGTTTCCGCGATGAGCATAAGTTCGACGGCCGCCGGAAGCCAGTGAGGATCCTCAAGAGAGCGCAGATTCTTGTGGCCGACATCTGGGCCTGTTTTGGCGGTGAGGGCATCGGTGCCTTCAAGGACATTGACAAGATCACCATGTTCGCCGACTACCGGGTCCCGCAGATCCTCAGCACCATGGGATGTCTGTACTATAGCCCTTCGCTGGCGACGGCTATCACTGATAAGCGAGTTATTGAGAGCGGATCGAGGTTGGAGTTGCAATTGAGAGGTGAGCTTGACCACAGCGATTCCACAATCCTTTCATATACTAACTATGAAGCAGCGTGCAGTATTTGGTGCGTTGAGCTCATCAAGCGGGAGATCCAGAGGGACCACCCCGGGACGAGCGTCAATGCTATTTTGATCGATTTCTTTTTGTATGATACCATGAAGGAGCTGGAGGCCGCTGGCACAGAGACGGAAGGACATCACCGAACGCGGAGTATTTGGTACTAGAACAACTTGATCATGTTATGGCCGAGATGGAGAGACCTTCAACACCTCTGATAAGGGGTATAATTCATGTTCGCTGTCGTCCAGCATAGAATATCTCGCGTGATAATTTACACAGCAAAACCCTCGTGTCGCATGCCTCGTCTTATCCTCCTGCGAGCCGTGAGCTCAAAGAACCGCTCCGTTAAAGCCACCGTTATTAACTCCAAACTCCATCTGCTCCATCGTAACATATTCACACAACATTCCCGCGGGGAAGGAGACACCTCGACGGTCACCCAGTCAGCCACCCGCGCCTTCCCCCTTCGGCACCCCAAGGTCCACGAATACACAACCGAACTTTCATCCGATGCCCTTCCCGCCACGACGAGAGCCCTCATATACCCCTCCAAGTCCATTCATGTCACCAGCAGGCGCCCGTCTAGGTCGGCGGGTCAGGTCAAACTGGCTAGGTGGTGGAATGGTTAATGGTCAACAATTAATTCCGCCAACCAGCCTACTCGACGACAGGCTCAGCGCATACGAGTTCGAATCCCAGCATGAGCACCAAGAGATGTAGCCCCCAGTTCAGCACCGGGGGGAGGGGGTGAGGGGGCTAAGTTAACTCTTTTGTCTTTTTGACCTTTTAGATGCTTTGCATGTAAGGTATGCTGGGAATCTCTAAATCAATCATGAGGCTCCGACCGCTGTCGAATTCATGAGCTCGTCCAAGTGAGCCCGCTCCGAAGCATGACCCTTCTTCTCTTCCTTCAGGAGCACCGCAAGAACCTCGATTGGCGGGTTAAGGCCCAGTCTCTCCGCGCGCTGCCAACGCTTCATGCGCTGGAGTCCGATGCAGGGCTATGAGTTGTATCAGTATTTCCATCCAGCAAGCAATTGTGATTGGAATGACTTACACCGTACTGAGAGCTGACGTCAAAGTATCGCAACACCCTCTCAGCCAGACTCATATCGCCCTGGTGCACCCTAGGCGCAATGCGCTGAGCCTCGATCGACTTCCAGTACTTATTGATCTGGGCGTCGCTGATCTTCTCGGCCCTCACTTCGGCTTCCGACTTTTGGGGAACTTCTTCTTTCACTTCCACCTCCTCAACCTCGGGGGTCGCGGGATCCTCGATCTGGATCTCGTCGACATCGTCCTTGTGCTCCTTGTTGCTTGGCTTGGCAATATCCGATCGGTCAATGGCAGAGGAAAGAGCGACCGATTTCTTGGTGTCCTTGGGTACGGGTTTCGATACTCGGTTTGAGAAGCTGATGGTCGATTGGCCTCGTGCCGGGCCGGGTCTGGCCCGGCCTCCTCCTGTTGATCTCCTGGTGGTTGGCATAGTGTGAATTGTCGCAAGTACAGCTGAAAAGGGTCTAAGTGGGCGGCGATGAGAACGTCAAGTTTGGGTGACTGATGCACGGAAACTTGAGATATTGATAACGGCAGTCTGATGAGTCCGAAATATCACTGATGGAGGGTGAATGCCTCAAATAATGTCGCCAATGGTTGTTGTCGCAATGTCATCCGTGAACCATAGAGCTGGGGTGTAATGAATGACGAAAGAGGTAGGAAGGTGGCAGGGGCTTTAATTTGGCGGGGCAACGCGAGGTTGGAGCCAAAGCACGTGACACGTACTGTGTTCTTCGTGATGGCGCACCGTAGTTGACACTGTCCTCATCATCATGATTGTTCATTGCAGCATGTTTCTATCGTCTGTCTTTGGACCTGCCGCAGGAAAACCTCATGTTTCAGGGTATTCTAGATGCACGCCGACCTTTGCTTGACTTTTGATATTCCCTTCCTTTACGCGCCAGTAGCTTCTCTATAGAATGAAATGCTTCTGTTGGCGCCCGCTGTACAGAAAGACTCGTTCTTTCCAGTCTTCGGAAGCCACTTGACAGCCCACAGAGCCTTGTCCGTCTCGCTATGCGTCGCGACACAGGCGCTTCGCTCTACCGACCAGACCTTGACCTTTCCGTCCATCGCTCCGCTGAGCAGGTATTCACCCGTGTCGTTCCAGTCAACAGATGTGATCCATGAGGAGTGGCCAGTCATGTTGCTGACTTGCTCGCCATTCTTGATGTCGTAGAGAGCAATGATGGATGAGTCGCCAGCGGCAGCGAGTCTGGTGTTTCCAGGGGAGAATGCAACAGAGCGGACAGATTTTACCAGGCCTGAGGGTATCTCTTTAGCAAACAATCGTTACGAGTAGGCCGTTCAAGGGGGGTTACCTGGTAGTGAGAACAACAACTTTCCGTTGTCGTTGTTGAAGACATAGACAGCTCCGTTCTGGTGGCCACTGGCTGTGTACCGCCCATCACGGCTCAAGTCGACTGACATGCCAAAACTTCCCTGGCCAGGGCTTCCCGTCTCGTACTCTCTAATCTTGGGCGTGCCCTCCTCGCCAATGTCCCACACATTCACCCGGCCGTCATAGGTCGTTCCCGCCAGGAATTTTCCATCCTCGCTGAGGGCAATGGCCCAGACCTCGCCGGCCTTGGCCGCCTTGTTCATGATCTCCGAGTGCAGCTTCCACTCGCTCGTGTCCTTGTTGATGACCCAGATCTTCACCTCGCCGGCGAAGCCCGCGCTCGCGGCAACCAGACCATTGCGGGAGGTGCAGATGTGGTGGCAGCCTAGCTTGTGTGCGCCGCTGATGGATTGCGTGATGGGGATCGCGGGGTCGGAGGTGTCGTGGATGTGAAGAGTTGACGAGCCGCTCGCAGACAATACAGCCCTTGAAGTAGTGGCCAGACTGAAGATGTCGGTTATGTGGGCTAACGTTGCTCCATGTTAGAAAGGTGTAGCTTTGGGGACGAGAAGTCGGAGGTTCTCAAGCTCCAGCTGGGAGGAAGCTCACCATTATCCACAGTGTGTGTGGTCAAGTATTGTTTCGACTAAAATAGTTAGCTTCCTCTTCATATACAAGCAGACAATTGAGGTCGTACCATGATTCCCAGCCCATGTGAAGCTCGTACCGCTGTGGTTGATGCGCGGTTGTGAGTCGGAAGGTAACGAGCGCGATGTGGTCGGGAAGGTGGGGGCTGACATCACACATTTGCGAGAAAAGACCCCTGCAGAGAGCACCCGGGGCACGGCAGGAGGGGCAATGGAGGGGCACCAGCAAGCACCCTTGCTCAGTTTACCTCAGCACCTCTACTTTATTCAACTTCACTCCTTCATCCCCTAATACCTAGTCATGTATCTCGAAATCGTCTTAAATATGGCTGGCTGGCTTACTTTCACAGCTTTATGACTACCTCCCTTCTCGCAGAATGGCAAACTTGCCTACCTATGAGTGTCAATGCTGCCACTTACGTCTCTCTTGTTTCTAGACTTCAATGACACTTCGTACAAGTACAAACGCCCACGAGTTCTTTGTGCGCATCACGGTGCTATTTCAAACAAATAATATCCAGCCATAAACTTACCAAGTTCAGCCCTTAAGATCAACCCAGCCTTCCGAATGAAGCGCTTGTTGCTCACGGAAGAACTCGACCATTGTATTGTTCTGACAGTAGAGAGACAGCTCATACGGCGTCAGACCAGAGATGCAAGGCTCGCCAGACTTCTTCGCACCACCCTCGGTCGTCCTTGCCTGCAAGTCAGCCCCTGCTTTGATCAGCTCCCTTGCAGCAGGTATCATGATCAGGTCTTGCTTCTGCTGAGACAGACGCCGAGGGTCCTCCGGATCGGGATGCCATCTGCGGGAGTAGCACGTCATGTGTAGAGGCGTCCAACCACGAGGCCCTCTGGCTTTGGCGTTTGCGCCTTTCTTGAGGAGGAGCTCGACGGTCAAACTGGCTCGTATACCCCATCTACAAACGACATGTAGTGGAGTGATGTCGTTGGCATCCGCGACGTTTGGATCGGCGCCGTGGGATAGCAACCACTTGGTCGCCTGATGTCGCCGGGTGGCATCGCCATACGCTGCCGCAAGCAAGGGCGTGCCGAAGTTGAACGTCTTTGACCTCGGCATTCTGGGGAAGTTGCCAAAGGTACTGTCTACACGCCCATAGATCACCATATCTGTCGGAGTTCCCGCTTTCTCGAAGACGTAGTTTACTGACGCGCCAGCCTGGACGGTTGCTTCCAGTGCTCGGAGGTTACCGTTGAAACTGGCCCATCGAAGAGCATACCAGTCGTTCTCTTGCCCACTTCGTTTGTAGAGCTCACCTCTCAGGATTTTGTACAGCGCCCTACACGATATAGTCAGATTCTTGAGGTCGGTGATACCGTCAAGAATGTCCGTTGGCGTCGGCTTCTTGGGGTCTTCGTAGAAGTAATCTTCCACGATTTCCAGGCCATCTGAATCTGAGTCGGCCTCAAGAGAATCATGAAATATCATATGCTTAGCCGGCTTAGTCTTTGGTCGCGGGCCCATGGCTTTGACGATTTGCAGGACGAGCTCCGTTGGGATAGGAACGCCTGCCAGACCGGTGGTCTTGTAGTCGTCTTGAGGCGGCTGAAGTGATGTCATTTCGGTATCTTGACTTAGTCCCGGAGTCGTACTTACCAGATGAAGTTTCGGTTCTACTCACGTACTCACATCTATGCGATGCCTGTTTGGTTATGTCAGATGAGCGTGTGTGTGTGTGTGTGTCTGCTAGTTGTGGTTGACTTGAGAGGAGGCAATCGTAATATCATAAAGCCTGGTGACTTGAAGCGCAGAGAGTTGGCGGTCTTGCCTCTAGGCCGACTTCTCACAACAATCTGTGACCGAATCTTTGCTCGCCTTACCTAGTTGGTTGTGATTAATCAGATTGCACGGCTTCATTATCGCTTTGCTATTGGTTCTTGTTGTCTCGTATACCATCCATTGTTTCCGGATAACAACGAAGGAGATGTCCCAGTATCACAAGACTAAAACTGTGTCTTTGTCTAAGTCTACAATCCCTGGTTGTGTATTTATTTTGTTTTATCTGCCCTATTGCCCTGCTTGTGTATAACATGCCTTTATCGATCTTATCCATCTAGCAGAAACCAGTGTTTATTGGGGCCAGACCATCAGGAGGGGGAGGCCAGAGAAACAAGAAAAGGCCTGACGGCAGTACCTGAGTCGACCAGAGTCGTGGTGGAAGATATGGACATGATCGCTCAAGAGTTATCTGTAAGCACCATAAACTTGAGAAGGGTAAGTAGCATTATCAAATGATTACAACAGAAAATAGGAACCCAAAGTGATCTTTGTTTATCGCCGAGGTCAATCTTCATGGCTGCATCTCCATGGGCCTGGCCCAATAAAACTGCACGGGTCGAGGCTGACCGTGCTGTTACTGAGTTCTGGTATTTGGTATTCAAAAGCCGTACCCGCCCTAGAAACTTCTAGTACTTTGCCTCTGGTCTACGGACGGTTTTCACGTCTACAGTCGCGTTGTTTGCCAACATCTTCCGGTAATGTTAGAGCGCCATCTCTATGTGTACACGAGCAGATGATAGCACATCAACCAAAATATGTTTGCCATATCCCAGTGATGGACTCGCCGACTTTCGAAAGCCTGCACTTTGCTGTCGCCCCGGGCGATGTGTAGATGAACCGAAGCGAGACACATCGTAATCTCTCTTGGAGCTGCATTCTCCTGTCATCCTATCGCTTCTAGCTATGGACTCGAGTCCTTTGGTGCGCTACCTTCATCTAGGCGGATTCCAGGTATGATGAACAACTTCGCAACCTCCAGAGGAGGTTCGAGGAGCTTCAGAGACCCTCGATATGATCAGCCCATGATTCATGCCGTTGGAGACGAACGTCGCTTCGAAGCACCTCGATTCCATTTCACTGTTGCATAAACAACCGGAGCCAGTCAGATGACAGCTAGGCACATCATAAGAAGGTGATGGATTGTCCCAAACGCCACAGTATGCTAACCAATTGTACACTTGAATATACACGTCTCGAAATGTTACACGGCCATTTGGCGATCTAAACGAACTTTCCTGAGGGGTTCTCCTCTTTCCACATGTCCTTGATCTCTGCGCAACGCTTGTCAGTTCAACATGCCAACAGAAAGGCTCTTGCAAGGGAGACGTACTGCTCAGGCAGTGTGGGCATACAATGTGCTGCCTCTTGATCTGGCCGCAGCCTGGGCACTTGCACAGGGACTTGACATCCTGCAACGCCTTGCCTGCCATCTGCCTGTGTCTCTTCTTCGAGTGGGAGGTCTTCTTCTTGGGTACCGCACGCAGGATGGACTCCCAAATGCCGCCGAGCCAGGCGGGGATGTTGAGGTTGAAGGCCGGAAGCGCGAAGGAGAGCGCCGGTAGGAAAGAGTTGGTGACTTGGCGCGTGTAGAGGGAGAATATTCTTGGTGATTGAGCGAAGGCTGGCGCGGAGATGCGGGGGAAGAGGGAGGCCATGCGCAAAGGCTGCGCGCCCATGGCGATGGCTGCCATTTTTTCTGGATGGTGATCGATCGATTCGAGCTCTGATGGAGGGGTTGTCGGGGATGGGGGTCAAGGAATGCCGGAGGTGGTCTGGTTTCTTGGTGTAATCACGGCGTTTAGGCGGATCGAAAGATGTCTGCCGTCGGGTATCGAGGGTTGGTGGCTTCGTGGATTGTCCTGTCGCGATAAGGTGCAGGTATCGTCGAAGCTTCTACACCACTGTCGTGCACATCACGAGGCTCAAGCTTGTTCCATTCCGAGCCGGAAAAAAAACGGCTTGCGACCGGGCGCTGTCAATTGAGATCTGCCAGCCAATCACAGCTTTGGAAGTGCACAGACCTCCATCAGCCAATCAACGCGATGGAGACCCCTTTTCCCCTTTCCCTCCGACAGCGTCCCACCCCCCCTGCACCTCCCTGCAGGGAAATTATTGTTTGCTGGAGTGGAAGGAGCATCCTATTAGCTGCAGCCAACGGCGACACTGCACAGCCAGTGCCTGGCAGACATGGAAGACACCCGTGGACGGGGGCTACTGGGGGGGTGGACGGGTAGCAAGCAAGTGCCAGCAAGAGAGGAAATTACCCTTGGTTGGGTCAAATCATTTCGTTGTGGTTGACTTCCCACCTGGGCTCATTCACCGGCTTCTGTCCTTCAGAAACATCCGCCAACCTCGTGATCCTCTTTTTCCTCTCTCCCTGCCCATCGCCTTCTCCAACTCCGTCTCCGTCCCTCCTCCCCTCCTTGACGAGACCGCAATTCGAGTTCGAGTAACAGATACCTTTCTTGGAATACAGAAACGTATCTCAACTTCACTCCTTAGCAGCACCACACTCACGCGCTCCCTTCACTCTCGCTCCCTTGCGGAAAAGCCGTCACAATGGCGCAGCCTCAAACCATCTTCCCCCAGACCCATGTTGGTTTCGACAGCATCACGTCCCAGATTGAGAAGAAGCTCCTGAAGAGAGGCTTCCAGTTCAACGTCATCTGCGTCGGTAAGTTGTTCCCCCGCAACTCCAGATCATAATCGCTGGCTAGCAAGCTGGCTGCTTGTCCCCCCCTACGTCGCGTCGGCAGTCGACTGATTGTACCTCGTGTTTCCATGATATAGGCCAGACTGGTTTGGGCAAGTCGACCCTGATCAACACCATCTTCGCCTCCCACCTCATCGACTCCAAGGGTCGTTTGATGCCCGATGAGCCCGTCCGCTCCACCACCGAGATCCAGGCCGTCTCCCACATGATCGAGGAGAACGGCGTTCGTCTGCGCCTCAACATCGTCGACACCCCCGGATACGGCGACCTGGTCAACAACGACCGCTGCTGGGATCCCATCGTCAAGTACATCAAGGACCAACACTCCGCTTACTTGCGAAAGGAGCTCACCGCTCAGCGAGAGCGTTACATTCAAGACACCCGCATCCATGCCTGCCTCTTCTTCATCCAACCCTCGGGCCACTCCCTGAAGCCCATCGACATCGTCGTCCTGAAGAAGCTGTCCGACGTCGTCAATGTCGTTCCCGTCATCGCCAAGTCCGATACCCTGACCCTCGAGGAGCGTCAGGAGTTCAAGGAGCGTATCAAGGAGGAGTTCGCTTTCCACAACCTCAAGATGTACCCGTACGACAACGACGAGTTTGAT